TGTTTTTAACTGTGTACCAGTTTAACGTTGAATATTATTTATGATTTTAACTTTATACACAAGTGGCAAAATACTATAATAATGTCTAATTAGCTCTTTTTCATTAAATAAACAACTATCCCTAATGACTAATACTATCTAAACACAATTTGTAGATCATATTTGTTCCTTCTAGAACAAATAAAATACTATTGGCCAAGTGCAGCAGGATTTATAATATTTGAATTGAGTTATAAAGTAAGTAAGTAAGTAAGCAAGTAGTATACAATAATAATCTAGGCAGATTTTAAAAATGGGTGAAGTAGTTTCTGCTTGTGATTCAATGCTATTTTTTATAAAAGTTAATCTGAATCAGAAAACCTTTCAAAAGATACTAAATACTGTTTCAAATCATGGGTTTAAAGTATGACACCACTATTAAATTGCATTTTAATGTCACAAATGGATAATAATAATAAAAAGCAACTTTCAGTAATTATTTAGATCTGCCTGTACTTTAATAATTTATACATTAAAAGAAAATTGTAAAAAATTGGTGTTTTTCCAGGTAAATGAGGATTAAAAGAATAGAAAATGAAAGGTTTTAAATCTTACACATTTGTTAACAAACAATTAATAGATAATCTAAAAAATGATACATAATCAGTTTTGCGACCATTACATCACTTAAATAATTTTTTTTAACAAACCATTCTTCAGTAAATACTAGAAACCTTTAAATCCAAAAAGCCTTGACAATTTCAAACAACGGATCACTTATGTTTTTTAACATTACATTAAATTCCCACAGTCTGAAGGTTCAACATAGAAAACCATCATCTTATATCTCTGGTATATGTAGAAAATAGCTAGTTTATGTTTCAGATATACACAGATAATTTACTACTTCATATTTCTGGTTTGAGTTTATTTTCACCACTTTCTTTTGAAGATTTCACTGTAAAAATCAATGTCTGTTTTATGTACAAGTCAATCCAACACACCCTCACCTCATAGCATTCACAGTATTTTTTCAGACAGCCAGATCGCTTGCAGTTACAGCCTTTTGTGTGACATCTCTGAACAATTCCATCCCTGTACTTCCCTATTTAGAAATTCATTATACACTAAAACATTACCAATTCCTTTTTTTTTGCTTGCTCATAAAAACAAGTTATATTACTACTTTCATCTCTCAAGCCTCAAAAATATGACAATCATCTATTAAAAGAGTATCATACAGAACAACACAAAACAAAAACAGAATGATTAATATTAATCTTTTTGAGAAATAAACTTGTGCATAATTTCTTTGTATAATTTGTGTGTTATATATATATATATATATATATAATACCCTAAGATAAAAACATTAAACTCATCAATCATATGAAGACCTTAACTGCATCTTACTCTTACACTTCTTACCAATTTTTGGATGAAAAGCATAAGGATTTCTCTCTAAACAGTTTTTGATGGCTTTTTGCCTTTCTTCTTCATGGTCCAAGTTATTAAAGCAACTAGTACAATTGCAAGTACTGCAAAATTCACCATTTGCAAAGCAATCACAGTATCTACAATGGTAAATTATTAGTTTTAGTTTGGTATCAGGCGATAGCTATTACCTTAACAAACAACATTTAATAGTATAAGAAATATTTTGCATAAATATTAAAGAAATTTCTGTATTTACATACTCAGATTTTGTTGAATGGTTAAAAAGTAATAACTTAAAAATATCAAAATATAAACAAAGTTCTAATGATAATGTAAAATCTTCACTTTTAACTAAATATTAGAAAGCATTTGAAATTCACCAACAATGTGCTATGTATTTAATAAATTTATGTTATTTAAAAAATTCAGTATCAATATGCTAAATATTTAATACATACTTATGCTATTTATGAAAATCATGAAAACCTTTGGGATCTTTAAGAACTTACTAATGCTACATGAAACAATCTTTTGAATTGTGTTTCCACATACTGTATTTTACATAAAATCATAGATGCTAGTTCAATTCCTCAGTAAATCTAATAGAAACCTCTAGTATATACAATTTTACTTAGTAATAAGATCTAGAAATTTCGTAATTAATTCTCGAAAGTAAAATGTAGAAATGTTATGATATAGGCTTTACATAACATATGAAGTATTTGTGGAGTACAAATACTAAGTATGTTAAATATGTGAAGGTTTTCAAGAAGTACATTTTATTTATTTTTAACATATATAATGTAGCGGATTGAAAACATTATAAGAAAGCACGAGCAGTAACTAGAGGACCACAATATCAGATAGGGAAGATGTAAGCTTGAGGCCCATAGCAGGAGAAAGCTAAAAGCAACATTCCAGTTGTGACCTCAGAGCAAGAATTCACAACTCAAAGAAGTGGTATGTTAAGAAAAGTTCAATAATTAAAAGAAATGCATGACAAAATGAGACAATATAAAAAAAAAACAGTTAATGGAATGGCAATGAAAGACAAGGATGAGATATTGCTAGTGAAGAGTCCAAGTTATAGGGTTTGTCTCTATATGCCCAAAGTTAATTGTCTTGGATGATTTTGCCAAAGATATTAGATAATGGACAGAAATAAGTTCTGTAAGGACCAATAACAAAGTGGATTTTGGTTAGAGTCTAAAGCAACAGTCAACTTGTTGCTGGAAGATTCCACTTGTACCAATCAAGTTAAAATAACTACTTTTGAAAGTAGATCTGCTAAGCTTCTTGAACAATCAGAAAAAAACTAAAAATTGTGTACGTAATTCTGTGTTTGACTTTAACTGCAGTTTTCTAACTTCATAAACTTCTCTGCACTTATCTGACTCCAGAAGATGACACTGATCCAGAATCTACAAGAAGTTTGCTGCACAAGCTCCTTGTAAGCGTGCTATTTCTGATCTAGTCTAACAATGTTTCACTTAAGGTTCAATAACGTAAAAAGAGAGAAAAGTGAAAAACTTTAACTGTACTAAAGAAATAGTAGATTGGAAAATGCTTAAAGTGGAATTACTTAAAGATACTTTGAAGAATTGTTAATACAGTTATACAAATTATGACTGAGAGAGTTTCTTGTGTTAACTTAATTGATAACTAATGTTGTATCAATGACTTATAATTAGTGTTTTCACAAAACAATCCTCAGAGTTTCAACATAAATGAATGGTTCAACAGTGTATAAATAAAGAAGTTATTTGATTTGTAATTAGTTGTCTCTATGCGAGTTCTTTATTCCACACGTAAATGTCCTTGAGTGGTGGCTTGTGCGCTTCGCTCGCAATAGCATGACCCAAAATCCAAATAAATTACTTTGTGATGAGTGTATTGTTGAACCCAATGACAAAGCCTAGGTTGCCCACATGCCCATTACACATAATTCTAGGCCCCTTATTAAAAGACTTGAAAATTACCCAAACTCGGTTATATTGGGGAAAACATCATGTTAAGTATTACTAGCTGAGGAGCCTTAGTTGAATATTTTTGTTTCACTTGAAATAAAATAGTGTCAAATATTTGAAAACATTACACAGATTTTGTAAGCAATGAATTCTGAACAAAGTAAACATTTTGGAGCTAGCATTTCTTATGGCACAGTTTCCTCATATTAGTACTTAAGACAGGGGCAGTCTAAGAAATTCCAGCCTTATTCCATAGAATTGGATTACAATAACAAATTTCATCATAATTTATGAAACTTAACTAACACCTCATTAAAATCTAGTAAACCAGTGCTTTCCAAGTATTAAAATATTAAGATAAATTAATAAAACTGAACTTTCACATACATCAGTGGTACATTTCCAGTAATTACCAAATATTAGTTGTGAAACTTAAATCACCAGACTAACATTTCAACTTGTACAAAGTATTTAACTAATACTTATTGAGCAAAAGTTAGTAATTTTATCTTATCAAAACCTTTATTTTCAAATTCTAAGTCAGCATGTGTGAGCTAGATTTGGTTCAAGGTACCAGGAAACAAGTATCAAGTTCAATGTATTCAGACTCCAATAATTTTGGTATTTCATGAATTCTATCTGTGGTACACTATGGCAGACAAAAAGGAAGCTAACAAAAGTAAAAGTTTGACAATTAATAATTTTATTCAAATAGCAAAGTTTATGCACATAAATATACCAACTTTAGTTGAATTGAATCAAATTTTTCATCTGCATTAAGGTCCACTCTTCCCAAGATAATTATTATTAAACCTTTGACAATTTAATTCACGAAAGTCAAAGAATGTTCAAATTATAGAAAAAAAATTTTCTCCTCATAAACAATTCTTGTCTTCACAAGTAATAAACTGGTATCATGCTTTTGGATGCACCAAATCAACCTCCAACTATACATAATCAGCAGTTTAAAACATCATTGTGACATACTTAATGAAGACTTATTAAACTTTATTTTCTTTTACTTTTTGATATACTTAGGCTGAAACATTCTTAAGGAATATTAATTACTAGTACCAAATTTTTTTTATTCTAATAACCTTTTTGTGAGAGTAGAAAAAATTCTGAAACTATGACACTTTTTTCACAGCATTAGAAATTCAACACCTCCCCAAAACAGATATGGAAATGATATTAGAATTGCTAGAAACTTCAAACTTTCAAATTAGTATTTATAAAAATAATAAATATACCCTGTATCATCAAGGAAGATCACATAATTTGGAAGTTTAAGATGTAGTCAACTTACACATTTTCCTTTTTTTGGTACTCTTCTTGTAAATAATAACATTACTTTAATGAATTTGAAATATCTAGTCTCTAACACAACTTATCAAATCTAAATGCAATTTAAGTTAACACAAAGAATTTCCAAAAAAATACCAATGTCAGGATAACAGATACAACTACTTGCTCCTAGCTATAGCTTGTTTGCATAGAGGATTAAAAAAAGCTAGAAATGAAAATGGCTTTTTATTACATCATAAATGTTCCAAACTAAGGATAGAGTACTGGTAGTACCATTACAATGCATCTAAAGCTGTGTTATTATAGAATAACTGCATTGATCATGGTTTGTATCCTTTCTTTAGATTTTTAAAATTGTCTGTCAAAAGTGATAGTAAGCAAATTCATTATCTTTCTTTGACTTATTTAAATAAAAACTCATTTTTCAAAATTCTATTATCACTAATGAAGGGGGCTTCAACTCACAAATTATATATTACAAAAATTATTTGGTACATAATTACGATTCTATAATAAAGGCAATTTTTTTTTATTCCAAGACTTACAATTTCAGACACTGGGATTTGGAACAATTACAAGGTCTTCGGGGTCGTTCCTCCTGTGCTTGCTCACCATGTCTATTTTAGTAAGAAACAATACTCTTTCAAATTTCAATTTATAAAATGATATTAAAAAAAAACATTTCCATCTGTGTTACAAATTCAGTACTATTAACCAAATGCCAATGTAATAAGCTTATTGGTTACCAAACACTTTTTTTTTTAGCCACAGCACAATTTTAATTGCTATCATGAGATTTTGTTAAGATGAGTTGAAAGGTTTGGATTACAAAAATGTTTAGTTTGTAGATATACTCTTTAAATCTATACAGTGTTGATGTTCATATATTTCATATCAGTTTGAAATATATGTTATTACAGTATTTCTGAAAATATATATTATGGTATCTTAAAATATGGTTTCATTAATCTTTAGAAACACAAACTGAATTGATACAAACTAAAAAATTTAATTATTACAATTCATTGATACAATTTCCTCAGGGAATATCTATAAACGAACAAATAAAAAAAACATATAGCAAGGAAAAAAAATTACCTATGACACCTAGCTATTACAACAACTCCACATTTTACTGTATGTTGTTTTTCAAATTAATATATCACTATGTGACTACGTAACCCTTCCCCTTAACGTAGGCAAAAAAAAAATGTTGCACAGTTGCATTACTGTGTCAAACATGATGTTTACTTAGTAATGCTTTCAAATCTATAGCATAAGTCCATTAAATAATTCTAAGAACTTCTGAGAGAAAACAAAGAAGAATAGTAATAATATGTCAACCACTTTCATGTTCAGTGTCAACAAGGCCTTTCTACAAACTAGTACCCAGGCTCATCAGACCAGCTGGAATACAACAGACATATTAGCAGTAGAGGCCCTACTGCTACACATCAATCTCATGAACAATTATGGTGTGAAGTAGTTTAAGTGAATTGTAATTATTATCAGTATTATTTAAGTCATTTATGAATCAGAATTAAGATAGAAATTAATAGCATAAAATTATATATTCTTTAATTGATGTTAAACACCAATTATTATAATTCTTATTATTATTTATATTTCAGTTAATTTTACTACTATTTAGAAGAACTGGCAAACTTTTAAGGCTAGACTTCTTGCTCCCAAAGTAGATCAAGCAACCATATAAATCAATTATGTATAACTACACTGATCAGAATGGTTTTATTTAAAATACATAGAACAAAATATAATAATGATTATGTGGTAGCACTTCAACCTTAAATAAATATTTTTCTCTTATGCATTACATAAAGTAATTTTGTTTCAGTAGTTTAGTTTGATGTAATAACAGATACTGTAAACTATTACTATATTCTTTTTTTTCTGCAAAAACTTATTAAATAAGACATAAGCTCTTATACTTTGCACGACTAAGCAAGACTTCAAAGAAATCTTTTCATAAATAATTTCAGAACAAAAAAAAAAAAGGCAACAATTTTTTAATTTTTCATAGTTTCTGTTGAACTGTTGTAAAACTAATCAAGTTAAAGGCATTTTGTAATAAATGTCTGCGGTCATTTCAGCTGCAAGTCGGTGAGCTTATGTATGTACCATAATGCGTGGTTCCCAACTGCTGGTCCAATCATGTGTATATACACACACACACACACACACACACACACAAAATGCAGCCAGTCCACAAGATGGCTGAAACAAATGTGTTTTAAAATATAGCTATTGAAGTATATTGTTTTACAGAATTGAGAAAAAACAAGACAACTGTAAATTTCACAAATACATCATTTATTCTTGATGATGGTTTCGCCAATGAAGGCATCAATCAGGCAAAACCATGGCCTTGAATAAATGAGGTATTTGTGAAACGTACAGTTGTCTTGTTTTTTCTCAATTCTGTAATTATGGAGTTTCACCAAGTACTCACAGTTTCAAGTATCGATTATATATTGTTTTATGATGTAACTTAAAAGTATTAGGTTGCCAAGAAATTAATGTTGCAGTTTTGGAACACTTTCATTAACCACACCCCATAAAACATACATCAAGTATAATAGTTAAATGAACCACCTAAATGTCATGTTAGTGTAGCCTATATAATGTGTAAAGTTTAGTATACTCTAATCCCTTATTGTGATGGCACCCAACAATACACACACACACACATTCGGCATGTAATACTGTTTCAATACAAAAAGGGAAACAATGCCTCTGTAGCCCCAAAGAATATCAAGGAAGTTTATGGAAATGTTTTGAGCGTTCGTAAGTGTCAACAATGGTTCAGCAAATTTCATTCAGGTGACTTTAGCCTTAAAAACTATGATGGCAGGGGCCGACATGTTGGAATTGATATTGATGCTCTGAAAACGCTTGTTGAGTTTAACCCAAGGCCAACACACTCATGAAATGGCCTTGAAATTGCATGTCTCTCATTAAACAATATGTAAACCTCTAAAGAATATTGGAAAATTCCATAAAGGTGTTTGAGTGCCTCACAAACTCTCCAATGATCATCATTTCTAGCGTGTGAACGTTGCTTTCTCTCTTCTAAGAATGGAGGCTATTTCATTTAATAAATGTTTTGTTTTGATATACAAGTTCTTCAGGTTTTTCATCTAAAAAAAAGCAACATTAATTTCATGACAACCTAATACTTTAAAAATTGAATATTGTACATAGCAGTCCATAAAATTTTGTGAATGGAACTAGCTGGAAAGAGGTTAGTATTACTTCATGTTATTGTTAGAACAGTTTCCTCATCCCAAAACTTTAACTACTAACTAGTAAAGTTTAACTTTGTAGTGGCAAATTACAACTCATTTTCTGCAACAGTGATAACCTAAAGAGAACTAAAATCAATAAAGTTTAAAATCTTTCAAAATTGGATTGTTTTATTGACTTTTTGCACAAAGCTATTCAAGGGCTATCTGCACAAAAATGGATTAAGAACCTATATCTAATTTCAGAATTTGGAAACTGTTTATTATTTTAATCAAAATAACTTATCTTTATATTAAACTTTCACAGACATTATCATATAGGCATTAGAAACTTAAAAAGTTTGCAAACAAATTTTACATACATAGAAACCAGAAACATGTTTAAAAAATAATCTGTTACCAAAAAACAGACTAAAATTATCACTTCAAAGTGGTCTAATACAGTAAAGTCTTCTTATAATTTTAGTTTAAATAACCTGCATATTCTGACAATGATTTTACAATAAACAAGATTCTGTGTACAACAAAATAAAATCTTTGAAAATTATTTTAAAGTACATAAAATACGAAATACCTACTGGTACCTGTCATGCAAAACAACAGCAAGAAATTTAGATTTAAAACTATCACTGATACCAAATACTTCCAAATTTTATCATGTATAAACTGGATCATAAATAAGCAAAGACAAAAGACTGATTATCTTTCTCTCTCCAGTTCACTACTCTGGCTTCACTAAATGGTTGTTTTTCATCAAAATATTATGACCCTCTTCAACTAAAAAATATTTCACAAAAAATATATTTTCCATCATTGGTTTTTACTTTGTCCCATAACTCTGTTAATGTTACCTTTATAGATATCAACATTAAACAAATTTTTTTTGCCTCTCAAATTTAAAAAAAATTTTTAAAATGCAGAATATTTTTTTCTATTTAGTTATATCAAACAATTACTCACTGATTAGTTTCTTGCTGATTCAGTCTTTGAGAGGGTACTGTAGATTGTGATGGCTCTGATTCAAAATTAATTCCAGCACTTGATGTACAAGAAACTGGGATAACTGTTGAATGACAATGAGATGGTGTACCGCTTGCCTCAAGGGGAGTTGCTGGAAGTAAAGTGGGCACCTGACCCGATGGTAATATCACTTTAGTAGTTTGCTTACTTCCACATAACACCTGACCATTCTGATGGACCTGGAATGACAACATCATAGTACCTTTATGTAAAAAGTTTCAACACATAACAATTAAGTATTTTTAATAAATATTTGTCCAACAACATAAAAAGTCATTGTTGACTGCTCTGAATGCAAAGTGGTTTTCACGTTAAGACTAAAAATACTTTTCTTTATCTGAAAATTATGAAATTTCATTTGTATAATCTCTAAAACTTCATAAATAAATAAATGTTTTTTTTCAGTAAAACTTTTATACTTTATCTGTTATGTTCTCTATTCTAACTCCATACCCACTCGGTCAATTTGGCCAAACTCCTAACCACCGTAAAAAAAAAATCTAAATTACTTTTTTTTTTCTAGAATAACTGCAAATTGCAACATGAAACTACAATTGTTTAGCCCAAATAAGAAAGCTTGTAACTGTATACATCTGTTTATACTCAATTTTATTGTTTTATTGCCACTTGAATTGTGAAACAAATAATCCCACCACACAAGTTGTAAATCCCTTGATGGACATGTAGCTCATGTCATTGTATTGAATTATGTAACACAAGAGCTGCTTGTGAAGAATTTTTTCATTATCTTACCTAATCTAACCGTATGTAGCCTAACGAGTTTCTAATTTTTACATTTTAGTTACTTTTGTAACAATAAATAGAGAATACACATGAAAAACAAGAAATATACTACTTGACTGGGTTTTCTTGTTTTTTTGCTGTTGACAATGGATGAAACTTAAGACAACTTTGTTTTATATTAATGGTATTACTACACTAACTAATTTTTATCTAATTAAATGCTGCACCTAAGAACACACAATAACAACACACACACACATAAAACAAACAATGTCCTACAACTACCAAAATTTTCCAGCTTTCTACCTATGAGACAGGAGCCATTAAAAATTCAGCTAAGTTTGTCTATTTGAATACTGTGGGAAAAGCTTTTGAACTGGAGGCAAAACAGTCAATTCTCTATACAAAAAAACAACATAATATTTATGTCATTTGATAGATTAAAACTTTGGCATCCTATTGATTATAAATAGTACAAAACATCAGGAAGATGTAAAGAGAGGATGTGATAGGTGAGCATGGCAAGCATGTCCAATTTTCTAATTCATGGCTCTATAAACAAGCAAGATTATAATGAGTAACTTGCATTAAATTCTGTACTTCTCAGAGGGGTAGTAAATAAATTAAAGAGGAAAGACCTAGAGAGCAAATATCACAATTCTCATACTAGGGAAGATTGAGGATTTTTTTTAATATTTCCTTATAAAATCAAGAAACTTTAAACTTATATCATATTAAACTCTGATTTATTAACGATGTTTGATGACAAATTTATTCATATACAATGATAATAGAAAAAGTTTAATTAAATTTTGAAAATATCTGTAAAACATAATGACGTGCACTTTTACCTACCCAGTGAGGAAGGGTTAACATTCTAAAAAATAATTTGCACAAAATCTGAAACATATGTTAAAAGTCATTACCGATCATTCTTGTATTTGATATTTAAAAAGTTGCTGCTTTAAAATTATTTTCAATGGAGAAGAGAAAATTATCTAATACCTTCACTTGGAATAAATATCATAGAACATCAAGAATGCCTCTACTTAGAACACATAATAAAAGGTCTAACCAATCTTCACAAACATGATCAAAAATATAGTGACATCGCTTACCTGATATTGAGAGTTGGCTGGAATTACTACATATTTAGAAATACTATTTCCACCAGTCAATAATGTTTGTCTCTGGATTTCTTCTAGAGTCAGACTAGCTGGCTGACAAGGAGATATTTTTGAAACTGATGAAGCAGGGATCAGCAAATTCTGAGGAATGGTTAATGGTTTTGGAGTAATCTGAATTAAGATAAATAATATAAATATTGTTTTATCAATTTATTTTCTAAGAGTAATATGTGTTTTTAAAGTTAATCTTGATATTGAACTTTTAAATTTTGCCAAAAATCATTTTAAAAATATATATACACACATTCTATTGTATGATTCCCATTTTTTCCTAAAAGATTATACCAAAAACTACCAGTATGAAGACTCTCTTAGGTCAAGCACCAAACTACAGTAACACTATCTAAAGATTTGATACACATGACAATAGCGTTATGTTACTGTTTTTAAATCAGTATGACAACTTGTTCCGAGATTAACAACAAAAAATTATTATAATATTTTACACTCACCAACATCAATAGTTATTTACAAAAAATTGTTTTAACCAAATCCACTATGAACTTCACCTAACATACAATGGCAGCCATTATTTTTTGAGGCTAAAAGCATTTCAGCTTTTTTTAAAGCTTCTCAAAATGAAATCTGAGTCATGATCAAAAGAACCCTGTCCAGATTCACATTCAAATGCTATTTTATTCTGTTGTCCAGAAAGTTTATTAAAAAAAATCCTATATAAAATGTTAAATTTTCTAATAAAAAATAATTATTAAAAACACTGCACACCATTCTTTAAAACTTTCTTCTTTCAATTTCTTTCCAATCAGATGTTTAGCATCCTTTCTGTTTACTATCCAATCTTGTTTGACTTTTGTGATTTATATTAAACCTGTTTTGAAATCTGGCATTTGAATTACTTTTGGGTGATCTTATGTTTCATTAACATATCAGAAAGTCTTTAACCCTATATGCACAGGGTTGGTACACTAGAGTGATGCCTGAATTGGAGAATTAATGTTTACTATAATTCTGAATTCACTAAGTGTATCTTCACAAAATTTCGCAAGCTTTTAGGAAAAGTGAAAATCTGTTGTAAACACAAAAAAATCAGAATTTTTCATAAGGCATTTTACTAAAGATTGGCTTGTGAATTTACTGAATCAGTCTAGCTCAGACTAGTCTGAAAAATACCAAATAAATCTAAAGTACTTTTTTTTCTTTCTAGAATGACTGCATGTTCTAACAGACTTAAAATAAGACCCAAAACTCAAGCGCTTTCGAATAGTTGACTATTCTTCTTCAGGAGAACAAAGAAAAATGCATGTTCTAACAGGCATTTACACACTATTCTTAAGCCAAAGCTAATATATTTCAAATTTATGTATATTTTGTTTTATTACTTTACAGTTGCTCTCAGAATACAGCAAAAGCCATTTATCACAACGAAACAGCTTTGTGTAAACAAAGGATTAAGTTACCAGCATGCACAGTCAAATTATAATCACAACTTGCACATCTTCTTGCAATGGCCACATGCTATTACAAGTATTTATTAAATAATATATTCACTTAAGATTTACTATATAACCTAACAAGTTCCTAATTTTTCACACTTTAGTTACTTTTATAATAATAAATGAAACATATCCATAAAAAAAACAAGAAATTCAGTACTTATGGCTACACTTCTCTTTTTGCCCTTGAAAGACCAATTGGCCACCTATTTTTTGCAATGATATTTGTGTTCCACAAAATAATTTTTATTTATTTCAAATATGCAACTTAGAACACAAAATATTATCATGCACAAAACAGAATGCCCTAAAATTACTATGATTTAACTGGTTTTTCCAAGTAAAATATAAATGGATTACAATAATTCCATTAGCTGGGAAAGTTGAACTACATAATAGCAAACAATGAAACTGGGGCCAAATATTTCAAAACCTATCAATAGAATGTAAAGTGGAATCTTCTATTTCTGTTGGTTATAGAGATTTTTTAAAAGACAGGATGTAGTAGGAGGGGTGCTGCATATGGGTTTGAAAAAATATTGCATGATACAGAGAAGTAAAGATTGAAAATTTATTTTAAAATTTCTTCTTGAGATTAAGAAACAAAAACTTGTATATACCAAAATTTAAATTAACTGCATAAAAAAAGTTGTGACATCCACACTCTGACCCACCCATGCATATGGTTAATTTTATCTTTAGTGTAAATATAAAAACAAAAATGCTTACTTCTGAATGAAAGTATGTCACTAGATAAATGAAACTGTAAAAAATGTTATATTTTAATTTCAAAGCTACTATGATATAATTTGTTAATGTTCATAGAGAACAATAGGGTAAACACTGATGAAAACAGTATTACAAATGCAAATAGTACATTCTATTGCAGTGCATTATTCCCTCATGGGTGTTAACTTACAGGTAGAGTTCACTAAGAAAAATATGAGGCAATCCTTTTGATGAAGCTGAAGAAGTTAATAAAAATTTTAAGGTTAAGATTTGGATTGTATTTAATGTTATATTCCATTTTGTTTGTTCTTTTAGGGAGAGAAATAGAAATGATATAATTTCTGACCTAACTTTCTCAGTAAGGACTAAGCAATCAAGTGGCAGTATGGATACACTTCGTCTTACAGAAAGTCAAAAAAAGAAAATTCAAATACCTTCCCAATGACCAATCAAAAACTTTCTCCTAAAAAATGCAGATCCAAGAAAGGACTCAACATGGAGCCTGAAATGTTACCTTAAAGTAAAAAATAATGGTAGAAATCAACAGAAAATTCACTTCTACTATAACACTATCGAAGGCAAATGTTGAAGGATTTTGTTTGTTTAACTTTGTTTAAAGCTACTCAAGGGCTATCTGCACTAACCATTTCTAATTTAAGTGAAGGACTAGTAGGAAGGTAGATAGTCAACATCACCCACCACCAACCAACTTTTGAGCTACTCTTTTACCAACAAATAATGTGACTGACCATCACTTTATAATTTCCCCAACACAGAAAGGGTGAGCATGATCAGTGACAGGATTCAGATCTACATAATGCGAATCAAGTGCCCTAACCACCAGGTCAAATGCTGAAGGAACTAATGGTTATAGAATTCATATATTTTTCCATCATAAGGATGCACTATGTAATTAAAATTTTGAAATAATACATGCTGCTCAATATCTTTCATCAAAAAGTTTTAATGTATACGAGTACAATTTTTCTTTGGTGACACAAAAATTTGCATATAATTTTGTAAACCAGTACATTTAAGTTAAATTATGATTTCAGTGTTTTCAGCTTCTAACATTAATTGGGGAATTTTAGTGCCTTGTTTTGTAGTGTATTCTTTGTACATTATTCTGTTGGAAAAATAAATAGATCTTGTCTTTCCTTGTTTTTTCAACATTTTGACAATATGATTCATTTCATTTACTTCCTAGTTAAACCCAGTGTGCAAGTAGTTTTTACTTTGTAATAAATGTAAATTAATTTCTGGGAAGGATAATTTTGGTATCTGGCATAATAAAGTATGCATTTGTCACAAAATACAAGACAAAGAACATCTTTGGACATTTTAACATAATAATGTTTTGGGACAACATGGGAACTATTGGTCATCTCGGCTGTTCCATCCTCTAAACTAAATTAAAATAATTTAAAAAATCTTAAAGCCAGCCCTTATTATTCATATACTTATCAAGCTTTTTTTTCTTAAACTGACTTAAATTTACTGCCTCCACAACATCCGAAGGCAACCCATTTCAAAGGCCAATCACCCTGTTGGAAAAATGAAACTGTCTTAGCTGAAGATGATTCATACCTTGCCAATATTTATATTTGTGTCCCCTAGTCCTACTATTCTCACTGTTGAATATGAAAAAAAGATGATGCATCAACACTATCAATTCCGTTTACAATCTTAAACACCTCAATTAGATCCCCCCTAACTCTTCTTTTTTCAAGAGAAAACAATTTGAGAGATTTCCCCCTCTCCTCGTATGACAACTCCTCCATTCCAGGCACCATGCTAGAAACCCTTTCCAACAATTCAATGCCTTTCCTAAGGTAAGGAGCCCAAGACTGAACACAATATTCCAAATGTGGCCTAACCAGAGACCTGTACAATGAAATTATAACCTTTTTAGACTTGTATTCAATATTTCTGGAGATAAAACCTAAAATCCTATTTACTCTACAACTAGCAACAGCACACTGCTTGGATGGCTTTAGAGACTGATCGACTATTACATCGAATCCCTTTCCTTCATAACATTATTAAGGTTATTCCCATCCAAATTATACTTATAATTCAAATCCATATGCATTATCTTGCATTTATTATATTTAAAACCCATCTGTCATTTACTTGCCCAACTCACTTAATCATCTAAATCCTTTTGTACGTCAGCAGCATCCTCTTCACAGCTAGCAACACCAAAGACCTTAATATCATCTGCAAATTTAAGTAACTTATTGACTATTCCTTCATTGCAATTTACTTGCCCAACTCACTAAATGATCTAAATCCTTTTGTACGTCAGCAGCATCCTCTTCACAGCTAGCAACACCAAAGACCTTAATATCATCTGCAAATTTAAGTAACTTATTGACTATTCCTTCATTGCAATTTACTTGCCCAACTCACT